TCACCCTAATTCCAAATGTATCTTTAGCTAATTATCAGTAACTCCTTTCCATTTCCAGGTAGGGCCTCTGCTCCCTATCTTTTGCCCCATTACTGTGAACATTACCTCCTATTTATAATGATTGGTTTGCTGTAAAGGGGCTTCCAAATCTGGTACTCTCAAGAACATTGGACAAAAATATTTCTACAATTCTCTTCAGATGGGAAATAGAATCCCCGCTTCTGAAGGAAACAATTTTAGGGAAGGGCTCTTTAATGCAGAATATGGACTGAGAATTCATCAAAGTTAAATAATAATATATACAGCAACATCTATGGGGCAAGATCACAGAAGGTTTTATTTGAGCAATTCTTTTGTGAATTGAAACCCATAAGACTGGTATTCATTCATGGAGGCAGAGCTTAGTTCTGGGACACATTAAACAATACCCATAAATAAAAATAATTTCTGAGCATATTCAATACGTACTATTTTTCTAAATTTAATTAGCATACATCTGGGATTAAAAATCGGCTCTTTCAATTAGAGGGTACACAGTTTCAGATGGCAGGGGCCTTCATCCCAGTGGTGGGATTCAAATATGTGAACAACCGGTTCTCTGTGTGGATGCCGCTTCCGGAAGTCCATTCTGGGCCTGGGCAACAAAAAATTAGCTACCGTTTCTGCCAAACTGGTGCAAACTGGCTGAATCCCACCACTGCTTCATCCCTGTTTTCTGAAAAACCCGTTACCATAATCATGCTACAAATGCTATCAGGGGTGTATTCAAAAGTTTAAAAGTTTACAGTAAATAATTATATATAAATATCTGTTTAAAACAGAATATTCCTAGGTAAAACAACAACAGCAAAAAAAACCTCAAGAAGCCCATAGGATATAAAATCTGAACATTTCATTTCTAACAATCAAAACAGGATAGCATGAATAATAAAAACCAATATTGTATAACAGAAGGTGATAATACTGAATTCTTCCTATAGCAATCAGATATATTGGAAGTATAGATCAGGTCAAAACTTCCCAGACCCATCAAAATCCTCCTGCCAAAATGAAAGAAGACAAGAGACAGAGAGAGAGAGAAAGCAATCCACAATCTGGTTCCCAGGTGTTCCTACTAAAATGCATCACTTTTAGCTTCTGGGTCATGACAGTATGCATCCAACTGTGGATGAAAAGATCAGTCATCTGGAGGTAAGAGCATTCATAATTGTCAGGAAAAAAAGAGGGAATGCATCAGGTTTTCCTTAGGAAGGTGACAAAGCATCTGGAGCAAGATATCTATAGGCTAATTGTATGCTAGGCTTATCCATCTATTTGAATAAAGTCTGTTTGTACTTCTTGAACTTCTTGCATCTATCAGATGATATCATGGTGCCCCTGGAAACGCCGTACCAAGCAGTAGAGTCCCGAGAGCAAGTACAGGAAGGCAGTTATACCAGCAAAGACAGCAGCGGTTAAGTAGGCAGTGTAACTGCAGGGCTGGCTGTAACCTTTCAGGGTACAATAGCTGATGCTCCGCGCCTTGTAGCCTATGATACCTGCAGCAGCCGTGAAGAAAATCACTCCAAGCAATAAGTCATGCAGAATGTTTGTTAGGAGCCAGCGGGTCCCCAGCACAGGCATCAGAGTCCATCGGCCCAATAAACTGAGCCCAAAGAGAGCCAAGGTAAGAAGCCACACCAGGACTGCTGCAAAAACTGCAAAGTAGGTTGCGCCTTCATACTTGTGCGCCGCTAAAGTTACCCAGCAGACAGCACCCAACAGCAGCTGTGCTATACGCAGCCCTCCTAACAGGCTTCGTAGGAAGGGCCTATTCAGGCTCAGAGATTCTCTAGATGCTGGACACGGGGGTGGAGGTGAGGAAGGGGGTGGTGGAAGAGGCATGTTATACCACTAGGTCCTCCGCAGCTCTTGTCTCCTCTGGTGCCTTCTTCAGCCGAGCAAATCTCACTCCCCTCTTAGGCACTTCCTCTGTCTGCAGCTGCCAAACATCTGCAGCTTAGCAGTTGTTCCTACACTAGGGCCTCTCAATTTCCTGTTCTAGCTCTCCCTTTCCCACCCTTGCCCCTCCTTTTTTTGGAACTTATTTCATTTCTCCTTCCTCTTACTAACAACTCCCTCCCTCTCTCCATTGCTCCGGTAGCTCTAGCCAAGAACTTAAAAAAAAATCTGAAAGCTGCCTTTTTTAGAATTATAGTTTCCTTAGCTCTATTACTACTTGGGCCAACAAAGCTCTGCCAAACCAAAAAGAAAACATGGACTTTGCAGACATCAAGTTCAGTTCCTCCCTTCTGCATGGAGAAGGGCCAAGTGATAGTCACTCATTAAACTCCCTAGAACAAAGAATTTGAAGATGTAAAGCTAAATGTACAAATAGTTTCTTCATTTGTTGCTCTGGAATTTAAATTCTGTTGCATTCTTCTTTAGATTGCAGAGAGGCAACTTTTGATTTTGAACAAGCATAATCCTTAGAAGATCTTTTAAGCCTTCCCTTCTTTTTGCTGTAAGCAAAACTTTTATCAGTCTCAAACTAAAACTGATCTAATCACATCCGTAAATAATTTGAAAACCACTCCCTTTTTGTTGAACTAAGAAGCTGTAGCATGAGGGACTTGGAGCTGTCCACCAACGCATACTGTAACTGCAATGACTGGAGTAAATTTTGGATTTATAGTCCAATGCAAGTTACCTTTAAGTCAGGAAAATAAATGCTCTGTATAGCAACTTCAAATTTTGATCAAGGAATTCAAGCTGGCAGGATCCAGGAGAACAGCCTTTTCTGCTATGGTGCCTCTGGAATATCATGCCTACCCAGGTGAAATCCACACTCACCTTTTTGGCCTTGAAAAAAAAAAGGCTTGGAGGCTTGGCTCTGCCAACTGCCTGGAGCCCCAATGGGGGAGTGGCATCCTGGAGGTTGTTAATGGATTAAGACAAATCCCACCTCTTCCCCATGCAAATTTTGCTCCCTTCCTTTCAGCTTGGACAATTACATTTTAAATGTATGGTCTTTATTGTTTTAATGTTTATATGATATTTTTATTGAATAACTTTAAGTCGCCTAGATTCACTTTGGTGAGATGGGTAGCATAGAAGTTTAATAAATAAAATGAATCCCAGATGAATTCCAGTTCAACTAAACTCCTTTTTTGCTGTAAATTTCATAATCTGTCTACTATGATGTATTTTAAATTCTGTTTCAGACTAGTTCACTTTTAATTAATTTCCACAACTGAACCTTTCATTGACATAAAAGAGCTTATTCTTTGTATCATTGTAACTTAATTTTGGTTTTTATATGCTGTTGCAACAAAGAAATTCTCATGTGCTGCATGTAGTTAAATATCAAAGGTAATTTTGATATGTGCGATCAAATCTGTGCTGACTCTTAATGACTACATAGAATCTATGTTTTGTTGTTTTTGTTTCCTTTTTGGCTTTTTGAATGTTTCTTTTGAGTGGTATGTAGATGTTGTTTATCTCTATGTGTCTGTTGATGGTTGACTTGCCTGAATGACAGGCTTCCAGGAATTTTTGGACTATTTGATTTGATATATGTTTTCAATACTATATGTGGAAAATACCAAGAGTAAGTGACTTAACAGTAAAAACTGTCCTTAAGCTGAGCTTTCAGTTTTTACTGTTAAGTCACTTACTCTTGGTATTTTCCACATATAGATACGAAAACATCATCTATCAAATCAAATAGTCCAAAAAAGTTCTGGAAGCCTGTCATTCAGACAAATCAACCATCAACAGGCACATAGAGATACACAACATCTACATACCACTCAAAAGAAATATTCAAAAAGCCAAAAGGGAAACAAAAACAACAAAACACCTCCCAATCAGCAAACAACACTCATAAGAGCAGAGATTAACATAAAAATTAACACCAGACCAACAGTCAAGAAATAAACAATATTCCAATGAAGGAACTACAAATACAAACAAACAAGCTAATAGTAAATAGCCTAATCAAGGAACCACAAGATTACTCCCACCAACACTAGCAGGACAAACCACTAGTATATAAAAATAAGAACAAACCTCACTCCCTACTAGCACTGATAATGTTACCTAATTGGGTAATGAAACGTCTGCAAGGAAACTACCAAACTAAGAAGAGCACTAAGGACCCCACAGTTCAACCCGGAGCTACATACATATATTCTCTTCCGTCAGTATGGGAAGAATCAAGCCATCATGGTGCTAGGTTAGCCAGATTGCTTTTCTGACAGGCTGTCAGAGAAGCTGGTGGTGTTCTGAAGTTAACACCGTTGTGTGAAAATAGCAGAAGGACTTTAACACAAGCCAATGGACAGAAACCTCAAGGAAGCCGAGAAACGGTGGGAAGAAAAATTGTAAACTGTCCAAAGTTGTTTTCGATACCGAGATGGGCGGCATATAAATTTAATGAGTGAATAAATAAAAATCGCTCATGACTGTGACACTATACAGCAGTGTTTCTCAACCTTGACAATTTTAAGGCATGTGGACTTCAACTCCCAGAATTCCACAGCCAGCATTGCTGGCTGTGGAATTCTGGGAGTTGAAGTCCACATGCCTTAAAATTGTCAAGGTTGAGAAACACTGCTATACAGTTACAGGCCGTCTTTTTATATTGGCTGGCGGCCCGTATTTGAACCGAGGCGAGAGTGTCTGTGCAGGAGCTGAGCACAAAAACACACGCCCCGCCGAAAGACGATCTTCCAGGCCACAACATCCTCTCACCCTGCAGGCTAACTCCCGTCTTCCTGACGTCAATAATCCTGCCTGCCACGTGTTCCCCAAAGAGGCCTCGCGGTCCCTCCCTCGCCCTCAATTGATTCGCTAGATTACAGCATTCTCTTCTGCATTTGGAGAAGAGGCAGCGGAACGGATTGGGTGAGAAATATGTTGTCATTTCTCTCCATTGGCCAGACGTATCTTCTCGGGAGCCGAGTATGAATGGCCGGAGGTCGGGTTTGAGAGGCTCTGGCGGATCTTCGAGAGCCTTTGAGGGGCCGGCGACGCCGAGCGGGCCGGCAGACGCCAGGTCCGTGAGTGCCTGCAGAGCTGGAAGGTCTCGGCTTCAGCCTCGATTGCCGTTCTAAAATTCTGGATGGGATGGAGAAGGGCGGGGAGAAAGGTGATTCCTTATGCTGTGCAATTCAGACAAATTCCTTTTGATGAAATTAGTTCATCAACTAATTAGGTAGCATGCCGCCTTGACATCCTGCTGCTGCTGATCTTCCAAAAATCCAAAGTGATCTTGTGGGGGCGGGGGGGGTGGGTTCTCTGAAACGAGGAACTTGCCCTAAATTACTCGGTGGATTTAATGACTCGATTTAATGATTCTTACATAATATTAATAGTAGCTGACAGTTGCGAATATCGGAGATGATTCAGTTAAGGCCCATGCGATTGAAAGGCTACCCGTTAGTATGTATTCAAACCTAGGTCTAAATACCCTTCTAAATACTAGCGTCCGCAAACTCCGGTATTGTAGAACAAATAGGTGTTAAGTATTGTAAAAGGATGCAGTTTTTAACCTCGTGAAAACTGAGACATCAGTGTTAGCCCTCTCGCTCTCCCCCCCCCCCTTAAACCAGATTCGCGGATTAATCGAGGTGGCTCATTGACATAATCTGCCAGTTTAGCAAATACGACTCCAGTTCTAATTGCTGATGGTCCATCGTTTGTGTAGCTCAAATTTCTTAGGTACTTTTTGGGGCATTTGGTTGGGAAATCGTAGCTGTTGTTACTAGGCGTTGTCCGAACACAAGGCATGTCAGAACCTGAAAGGCTGATGAGAAAAAATTGGCCTGTTGTTGACTGAGAAAACGTCCCACCCCAAATGGATCCACCCTGCTACTCATCTCAGTTTAGGTGGAATAACCTGGAGCTCGTATTTCCTGCTGATTGAGTAAATGTGCAAGCCCTGTCTTGACAATACATATTCTGGCTACTACTATATATGAATTTCCATACACTGTTTTCACATTAAGCTGCGGCATCTGAATAATGCCAGTGCCTTAAGACAATGAAAAGCTCTGAATTAACACTCTGAAATATGGCATAACTGAATAACCACAATTGTAGAGAAAGGAGTCTGTCATGGATATTTTAATTTGGATTCTTGCAGAGTAGAGAGTTAAGACTTAATGACTTAAATAATTCCTGTCTGTTCTATGAGGAATCATATCGTCTGGGAGGAATTAGGATCAACTGTGTTATAAGGAAACTTAGTTCTGACCTATAGGTACCTCAGATTAAGGCTATTAAAACATCTATGCATTTTGTTTCCACTTGGACCCAGGTTATGATACCATAGGAAGGAAGGGAACAGTTAACCAATCTGCTTCTTCCTGGTTTCATCTTTTCTACAGAACCACCACTAGCTACAATATGGAGAGATCCTAGCACCATGGGAACCCCAGCCTCTGTTACCTGTGATTTGCCACAGAATCAAATTGTTAAATCATGTACCAGAAAAAGAGCATCTGCCAATATTTTCCAGGGGGTGGGGTTACTGCAATTACGTCGTCTCTTCCGTAGCAGTGGGGATATGCAAGCAGAAGAACGAGCCCAGCTAATTTGGGAACGCGCAGAAAGCCACTGCATTACTCGGGCCTTACAACAGCTTCACAGAAGGCAGAGAAAACTGAAGCTGCAAGCCAATGGGAGGCCTCCATCTGGAAAGGGCAGTAGTAGTAGGCTGCTAGAGCTACAGCACTTCAGTCACTTAAGGTATGATTTTGAAATTTGCTTATACTGCTTCTTAATCTTACTTAGATTGCTGGTACTGGAAGCAAGAATTTGTAGACTCTATCCCCTCCCCCAGCAACTTCAGTTGCTTTCAACTAAGAGTATGAACATATTTTTATTCTGGTTCACAGTTGATTAATGTACTGTATAAGGTACTTATTTAGGTTGGGTATTTAGAAAGTAAAACTCTTAGATGCTGCACTATTCAATTGTGAACTGTGAACCATTCAACTGGAATATGATATTTCTAATACAATTGGTATTGTATAAGTATTGAACAGTAATAAAAGCATGTATTGGAAAGAGTTTCTTTAATAGGTGTCCAATCTTGAAGCATCTTGTTAAATTATATTCATGGATATTACAGTAGTAACAAAATTGATGTAGAATAGATTTTTATAAGGCTTTCAGAAAGGGAAAAAAGATTTTAGCTCGTATAGCTGAATAGGTAAGTGAATAATTTACAATATTGCAGATCAGGAGAGACAAAATTATAGGAAACTGCAGAGGGAGAGAGAAAATGATAAAATGCGTCATGTGATATTTCAATACAACCTCTACCTTTTGGAAGCTGCATTGTGATGTACAATTATGTAAGGGGCAGAGCTTGCGTCAAAACATCACAAGAAACATTTCATTGTTTTTCTCATTTTGTTGCCATCTGGGCTTGCTATAAACAACCCTGGGCAAGTTCTTTCTTCTCCCTTCCCATTGTTAAGGGTTGTTTTTTTTAAAGCACAGTATATCCATCACGGCTAAACAAGCTGTAAATCAACAGTAAGCTGACATTGTGAGATTATTTGGATTTTATTTTCCATCAGTTCTAACTGACTCATGGCAAATTATGGATGTAGTCTGAAATATCTGGAGAATATATTCTTCTGCTAACACAGCAAAAGGATATTGAATTGAAGAGCAGCTGTAAGAATTTTTCCTCATTACATTAGCAAACTAGCATCACAATGCTTTGTTTCCTAATCCCTATCTTGATTGTCTGCTTCTAAGAAAAAGGAGTATAATGCAATTCTTAATGAGATTTTTGTTGACCTACAGGATTGAAGACTGTAATACATCTTCTGCTGCTGTTCATGCTGACAGTAGGAAAGAGATAGAGACAGCAGATGGAAGTGGCCACTACATTGCTTCCCAATATAGGAAGAAGGAAAATGAGATGGGTGTGACTGCATACACAATGAAAAATGATTGTGATCGTATGCCAGTGATTGTGGCTGAGTGTAATCAGACTAGCCTGGAGAAGCCTCAAAGGGAGAATGTTTGACAAATGATTGCAGGTAACAGCAGAAAAAAATTTAAAAATTCTTTTGCTCTCCAGCACTTTGGTTTGCTAATTTAGAGACTTGATCAGTTTATGTCAAAGCACAAACACTACGTATTTTGACTATTTATGGTTTATATTTAATAAAGCTTCCTGCCTGAATGTAAGAAGAGTCCAAATGTCTCTCTAGTCCAGAACTGTTTTCTCCTAAGGTCTTTGGGAAATTTACAATCGGAATGCAGAAGAAATTACTTTTCCTTATTCCACATATGCAAACTTACTGCTATTCAGAGGTGGTGTACCTAAACAGTTAATAAATGCTTCTATATCGTCCATCACCTGATCTACTTTTACAAATTGTTTTAGAGAAACCGATTTGGTCATAATGCATTGTGTGGTTATATTTCCTCTAGCCTATAAAACACATACAGGCCTTAGTGTAACAGCTTTATGATATAGAAAGCCACATTCCCTCACATCACCAGCTTCATCTGTTGTTGCCCAGCAGAGTGCCAGAGAAAGGAGACTGCCCTGCCAAAGGTCTGGAATCATTTCTGGCAGTAAAGTGATATGAAAATACACCAAGGGCTACATCAATTTTTAGAACTGTAGGCCGATTACCTTTGCCTTAAACAACAGTGAACTGGCAAGGTTTATTTAAATAAAAGGTTTTAGTGAGTACAGAAAGCTCTCAACATGTTTGCTAATCTATTGCAGATAGAACTAAATGCTTTCGCACTGCCACAAATGCACACAAATAATATTCTAAAGGCCTCTTTCCTATAGCTGCAGAAAAAGCACAACAAAGTCTAATAAATCCGTATCTATATTCATATGCTCATAATATGCATAAGTTATATATATGTATAAATAATATAAAAATAAGATCTTTGGCAAGAGAGACCCCACTGCTTCATTCAATCTTGTCTGTCAAGCTTGCCATCTTTTATCAATTTTACTGTAAATTGTTTAATTGTGAGCCACCTGGAATCATTGGGAGTCAGGTAGCATACAGGTTTGATAAATTATTACCTTCTCCAACTATTAGGGAATCATTTGACCTTGTAGGTAATTAGGTTCACTCAATATATTAACCCAGGCTATCATACCATTGATGCTATCTTCATACAGCCTATTATGCCCCTGCAAATAAACCAAGTCAATCGTTATGTCAAGGCACAGTTGCAGCTCTACTGCATGGTGTGAGGCTAGTGAAGGGGAAAATCCTGTTCTTATTAACTCCAGAAGACATAAACACACACAAGAGACTGACTCTGTAACAGCAGATCTGTTATGAAGAGACTTGCATTGATTTAAATATATTACATACATTTCTATAGTGCATAAGAACAATACATTTCAGTTCGGACTGGCAAAAAAGTAAGTGCCAGCTTCTGCCTGCCACTTCTAGCAAAATGCAGGAAGCTGTCTCTTGAACCAGCAACACCAGAGAAAAAGAGATCCTACATTCAGCGTATCAGAACTTTATTCGGAAGAGGCAGGAAGCTGGAATTAGTAAAAGGTCTCTTCTTGTAGGTGTGGGAAGCAGCCAAGTAGCCAACTGGGAAACTTATATAGAAAATTTCAAATGAGAACTTCTTGTTGCCAGAAGTTTAGTACAGTAGCTATGAGAAGCAGCAATCATTGTTATCATTCCACTGTACATAGAACATCTTGATATGGTAGAAATTCTACCTTCCTCTTACAATTCTCTACAGCCCTGTAGAGGATATCTCCCTATGTCAGCATCCTACAGAGAATTTCCCTCCCCACTTCCCTCCCCCTACAGATTGTCAATGCTCAAACCAGCCCAATGGAACTCCCACTCTGTAGGACGTGACACACCATTGCCTCTGGAATAGTCTCTCTTCTCTCCTAAATCAGCCAGCATTTCTAGAGATGAGAGACAGCTATTGCTTACTCTTGGGAATATAATAAATGTGTCCGAAATGCTAACCCAAGGTAATAGTGGTAGGTATATAACCTCTTGTTTGCTTGTTCTAGGACTATGTGGAGCATGAATGTATGAGCATGGGATGGATAATTTAAAACCAAATTAAAATCTAGTATCTGAGGCCCTTGGTCCTAGCCACATGAGGAATGAGAAGCTCACTAATTTTTGCTCTCTATGGTTGTCTTGCAGAATCCATCTGCCCTATTATTTATGCTAAGTGGAACGGAAGCTGTTACATTTGGCTTTGGCCCAATCCTCAATAAGTTACTTTATATCAGATTAAATTCTGATTATAGCCACATTCCCTATTGAACAGCCCCAAGGCATACACCCTAGGAGCTCTTCCATAGGACAAGAGAAACAGCAAATCCAGCGGGGCAGGAAAACCTGCTTTCAACAGGAATAACAAATGTGCAACAAGGGAGGAAGGAACAATAAGGCTGGCAGTGATACACAGTGAAGTGCTTCCATCCAATTTGGATTATCCCCTCACCACCAGCCCTTCCTTGTAGGAGACCTTATGAGATGTCCATCCAAATGAACATTAGAAGGATATCTTGAAAAAGGGCATGGCATGCAGGCTCCTGCTAGGAAATGCTGTCATGCTTGGGCTGATGATTAGACATGTCCAGCCCAAAGAGAGGGCAGCAGCAATCGGACCAATGAACATCCCTCGTTTCTCACTGGGAACGTGCAGAGTTGAGACTGACCCTGCTTACATTCCTGATCATCTACAGCAGGCAACCTCAGTCTGGAGGGTTGATTGCTTGCTCTCAAACGATGCCCCCTCTCAAGTTCTTCACTGAGAATAAAGGCAACTGCTACCACCAGGTAAAGAAGGGCCTGCGGCTCTGGAAGCTTTGTGTATATGATTCACTGGCAGAGCGCTGATGGGAGCGAGCAGTCTCTACAATAACAGGAGGCATCTGGACCAAGTTAAGAGGGCTCTTTCCATCTTTCAGGGCTTGCATCAAGTTCAGGATCTAGGAATAGAAGAAAGAAAACTGAATATCAAGCTAATGTATAAATGGTAAAAGTTGCCCAATGCCCAACACAGGTCCCATCTATCCAGAGGGACTAAGTACGTACCTGACCACGCATTACTGCAATCTGCTTATGAAATTGGCCTCGGTCAAAACCTGGATCTTTCTATAAAAGAAATAGCATATCTAATTAGGATGGGTGTGGCATCTACGTCCCTGCTCTTTAATTGTCCTTAGAGAAAAATGGGTGCCTCCCATAATATTCTGATATTAACTTGCTCTTGTGGTTACCTTGAAGAGTTCATAGAGATCTTCTTCTAGATCCTTGACAAAATTAGGGTCTGAAATCTTTGGCAGGATAAGATCCTTGATTTCTTGAGAGAATGGCACTTTGGCCTGTGGCAGCCATGCCCAATAGAAAGGATCTTGTGAAGGAAGAACAAACAGAAGGCAAATATTAGGCTCATAAAGCCAGACTAGCAATAAGGGTAGCATAGATTCAAATACAAAGGAAACACTTCAGGGCTTAACACCCTGGACTTATTAGAGGAACATTAGGAAATTAGCTCTTCATCAACATCCAAACTGGGGAAAAAATACATACAATGAACTAGTATGGCTTCTTTTATTTGGAGTACTTACATGCTCTCCAAGAGTCTGGATGCTTAAGAGGGAAAGCCAAACCATTGTCAATGGCTGCCAGTTTAATTACAGGCTCCTTTACTACAACCCATTCTGAGTCCTACAAGGAAACAGAAAATGTTGCATCAGGAAATGATACAAATCCCCGGAATCATTGCCCATTAGTTGAAGAGAGAATGTATAATTCCAGAAGACTCATTGCCCCAAAGTCAACACAATAGAATGCTGATCATAGAAGTAGCAATAGCACTTAGATTTATATACCTCTTCACAGTGCTTTATAGCTCTCTCTAAACAGTTTACAGAGTCAGCATATTGTCCCCAACAATCTGGGTCCTCATTTTACCAACCTCAGAAGGATGGAAGGCTGAGTCAACCTTGAGCCGGTAAGAATTGAACTGCCAGCGGTGAGCAGAATTAGCCTGCAGTACTGCATTCTAACCACTGTGCCACAATGGCTCTTAAACTATGTCAACATAGTTTAATCTACCTCTGTTTTATACCCCCTCTGCAAAGGTGCAAAGGGAAACCAAGCAGTGCTAATTGGTATGCTTGGACTCCAGGGTGTTACTGACATTATTAATGCACTTTCATATGTTGCCTCCTACAAAACCAAGATGCCACAAAGTGCTTTTGCTGAGTTACCTAAGAAGGATCTAGCAAATCCTAGATCTCTACATTATTCTATATGCTTAAAGCTAACTTTAATATTTCTATATAATTCACATGACATGTCTTAAGTATTTTTATCGTACGTACATGATTAATCTGGATTTCTGGTGTTTGAGCCACTTCCCTAGATCTGTTCCATTCAGGACGTTATATGCAAGTCTCTGAGAGTCCCTTATTTTCTGTACCATGGATTCATATGGAATTGTCAGAGCCCCACTGGGCCCTACTCACCTGCATACTTGTACTGTCCAGGGGGCAATCACATTTGATCAGCCAGTTGTCATTACCCCTATCTGAAAGAAATAGAAATGCACAGATAGAAAACAGAGAAGTATCTCACCACAGATAACAAACCTCACATCCCAATATTATGGGAGGAAAAAATTACTGGAATACAGCATCACTGGAATATGAAGTAGGAAGAAGTTCCTTTCCAGCCCAAAAAACCCAGATCCCAGTCCTTAAGACCTGGAAAAGAGTCCTGTTTGAAATTCTGGGAAGCTGTAGCTAGTACATTTTAGCAATATTGAGCCATATGGAACAATGCCTTGATTTGACAAAAAAAATAGGTAGACATACTGGAGAATGCATACACTGAACAAGCATTTTCAATATGAATAACTTCTATCAGCATTCCACGTCAAGAGAAAGGAAAAGGCAGGACCTACCAGTATTGCGTATAATATAGTCCAGCACCACCAATCTCTCAAACTGTAGCAACAATTGATGGTTACTCTTTTCTGGAAGAGGCTCAGATTCAAAGCGCCGCAACCAGTAATCTGCATCCTTATAGCCTTCCACAAAAAGCTGGAAGGAACCCACCTGAGAATAAGAAGCAAGTACCTTAACAAGAGCAACATACCAAAAAACAATATTGAATGCCTCACTCTCTTTATCACTATCCCCTACCTTTGGTGGAAGACCAATTCGATGAAACCTCTGCCCAACCTTGGGCACTTTTTCCAAGGCCAGACGCTTGCCCCGAGACTTCACTCTGTCAATGGCACTGTAGTTAAATGTTTCACTAGCCAAGTCCACCACCTTGAAGAAATTATAAGCAGTTCACAATCAGTTTCTCTCTCGTCTATTCTAGCCATCCAGCAATCCCCATTTACAGAACAAAGTCAGAATTGCATAAATCTAAGCATATCCAGACCTGTCTGTCCAGAACAAGTTCTAACCATCTGGTAGAACATAGAATTTAAACGGCTTGAAAAACATATCATAACAATGGAGAATAATGAGAAATTAGAGATTAGTGTCAAGTGTACATCCTATAACACAGAGGTCCCCAATCTTGGTCACTTTATGACTTGTGGACTTCAATTCCCAGAATTCCTCAGCCAACCATGCTGGCTGAGGAATTCTGGGAGTTGAAGTCTACAAGTCATAAAGCAGCCAAGGTTGGGGACCCCTGCTATATGTCAGCTCTGTAAGGTAGACCAGATCAAGAAACCAATGTAGGTCTAAATCTTGAAAGTCTGAATGTGCTTCTCCCCTCCCTCACTTTATTTTGTGTGAACTAAGGAGTGGCCTGTCTGAAAAGTTTTCTCACACTGGTTTCAGAAAGGACTTAAGCTCCACTTTCCCAAATGTTACCTTGGTAGGAGCTCTTCTTTGTCCTTCAAGGCCATTCCCTATATACCCTCTACAATTAAAAAAAAAATAGGTAGCAGTTTACTTCTCTACCGCAATTTCTATACTGAAGATTGCAAACAAATATGGGAACTTAAAATAATCAATATGAAGTCAGTGCATTTGAGGAAAAGACCAGCAATCTTGCATGTTTCATGTGCTTAACTGTCAAAGTAAGATCAAAAATATTTTTCTTTTAAAAAAAACTGTACAATCATTCTCGCATTACTACCAACTATTTCCTCTCTGCAGTGTCTTTTTTCAAAAGAACAGGTATTTTTTCAAAAGTACCCATTGTCTCTAACCAAATATAATTGAGAGTCATAAATATTCCCTGGACTAGGAATAAGTAACCTGAAATTTAAAAGGAAGGAAGAATGTCACTGTCTAAAAATGTGACATACTGGTTATCTCAAATACAATAATGGGAAATCAACCTTCCAGGTATTTTCAAATTGCAACTTCCATAAGACTGAGTCACATGGCCAATGGGCAAGCAAGGTAGGAGTTGAAGTTGAATGCAATCCAAAAGCCCCTGGGGTTTTGTCTACCTGGCATATAGGGAAATATTGCTGTGAAGTTATGAATGCTCCAATACTGGAAGTTTTTAAGAAGAGACTGGTCAACCATTTGTCTGAAATGGTATAGGTTGTCCTGCTTGAGCAGGGGGCTGGACTAGAAGACCTTCAAGGTCCCTTCCAGATTCTATTCTATTCTATTCCTACTCTACTCTACTCTACTCTACTCTACTCTACTCTACTCTACTCTACTGTTCCAAGCCTCATGATCCACAGTTTAATCCCATTTGATTATCTCTCTTATGAATGGCTCACCTTTGTGCGAGGTACAATGTTCAGTTCCAGCTTTTGATCAACAAGACTTGCACCAGCTTCAGACAGATATCCTTGGTTGAGAACAAGACAATCTCTTCCAAAACAGCAGGGACAGCAAAGTTTTTGCAGCCATTTTGTCCACTTTGGGTTTAGATGCCCATACGGTTCTTCATTCTTCGGTTTGAACACACCAATAATTTTCTGAGAGGGACAGAAGAGTAGACATTGCTAATATGGGCTGGATAAAGCAAAGGCAACACAGAAAATTAACATCCCAGCTTGATGATAACCCTGTAGCTTCAAGATGTATGACTAGGGAATTTAATCCCTCTCGTTCCCTTTTTTTTGTAGGAAATACAAATTTTTTAAACGAGGCAAACAAAGGTTTTAAGTAGAATATGGAGGTTTAATATCATCTGATGTTGGGTATTGTTTTATTATTTATGTTTAAGCATGAATAAAATCAAAAGATTAAAGCACAGGCTATTGAAAACCATGATTCCGGTAAAAGACACTGTCACCATAATAAAGGAAAAAAGATCTGAAAAGAACCTCCCATAGAAAAATACACAGGATAATAATATAAGGCTCTGAACACATCACAAGACAGTATTGATCTCAATTAATAAAGAAGCAACTGTGACATAAAAAAAATTGCCTAAAACGTTGAGAGGCTTGTGTAAAGAAAGCAGTCACCAGAGGGAAAAACAAAAATCAGACATAAACCACACAACCAAATTTAAAATAATCTTGGGCAATACATAATTCTCTGTTTAAAGCTCTTAAATAGCTTTTAAAAGCTATCAAAGATAGCTCTTTTTACAGACACAATACATTCTTCCTAGACTTCTGCCTGATATTTCAGAATTCTAGTCAATATATTCTGCTCCAGAATTAGGGGATATATCTTGTTTCACTTCGCCTTGATTTCCAGCTTCGGCTTTTATTTTAAAAGGGCAGTGTAGTTTATTTTCTAGCAATGAGAGAGAGGTCTGGATAATCTAACTGCATGTGATCCAGGGAATGCAACTGCACAAAGGAAGATTACAGATCTGAGAAGTGAGAATACAGCACAAATTAAAACTACAACATCTGATTGCTTTTAGTGAACATGGGGCAACAGCCTGCCTGCCTGCCTTCCTATTTACTACAAAAGAAAAAGGGCATCAAAAACAATAAAGCAATCTTTAGTCAAGAGATTTCCATTCCCTCCTGCTCTAACTCTGTGAGGTAATAGACCACTAACTCCAGCAGATGAACATAAATCAGGATAAAACCAATTTAGATACCCCTCATCTCTCTTCCCAAATTTAGGAAGTCTTCCAGAATACTAATATAAAAAGAAGCAGTCTGTTTGAGTGTGTTTGCTGGGGGAGGAGGAACTTATAGACTTAAATAGTAATTGATTTTATTTTCACAAAAGACTTTTGTTTTATAAAAAAACTCACTGGGTCTCATGACTTGTTGAACCCCTGAAAAAATGCACAGATAATTTTGCTAAATCTTGGATATAGAGTTTAGTCATTAAGGCTTCAAGCCAGCAGCTCCACCTTCAGCCTTTTTATTCCCATTTTAGTGACCAAACAGTAGAAAAAATTTACAGATAAAACGCAAGGGAGAAAATAAAGGTTAAGTTGTCTGATTTACTTGACTTACTGTATATATACTAGTAACGATAAGTGTTAGCATAACACATTATGTCCATCAGATATAATCAATACTTTTATGAAAACAAGAGCAAAAAATTGAAGATGGGAACATCACTGCTATCACAAAATCTCTTTAAGGAATATTTTTATGTAGAAACTTAATTTAAATATATGGTTCCCAAGAACCATATATTGAAATCTAAAACTTCAGCATACTCAGGTAGGGATATTCAGAAAATATTGACCAAAAGTAGCCTTTTCCTTGCACTATCTGATCTGACTGCCTCTGAAATACAACAACTTCTTTACTAGCAGATGCTTTTCTGATAAAACTAGACTTTCCATATTGTCAATTCAGTGTTAAATACTAGCTAAATCACTCCTTCTAATCAAGTAGAAAAGCATATTCCTAAATTTTTCCCAATCTAGGAATGACCAGATACACTGAACTACTATACAAGTCCCATTTCTTTCAGCCAGCATGACTTACTGATCATTCTGTGGACATTATGGTAAGCTGTAGTCCAGTATATCCAAGAGTACCAGATTTGGAAGTCTGATCTCAGCCAGATGTAATCAAATAGGAGAACCAGTTTGGTGTAGTGGTTAAAGTTGTGGCCTAGAAACCAGTTCTAGATTTACCTTAGGCATGAAAGCCAGCTGGGTGACTTTAGGCCAGTTACGCTTTCTTAGCCCAATCCACTTTTTTGTTATGGGGAAATAGGAGGTCGGAGTATTAGTTATGTTCACAGCCTTGAGTAATATATATAAAAGGTGGGATAAAAATATAATAATAATAGTTTAGGGTTAAAAACATTGGGGCAATGATTAGGTCAATCCAACTGAACTCACAGACTTTTCATTGTGAAGATAAAAGAGGAAAAGAGAATAATATATATGCCATTCTAAGATTTGGGAGAAGAGACAGAACACACAACTAATAAGTAAATAATACAACAACATAGCTGTAGCCCCACTCGTGCAGCAAACATAACCAAATTCCATAGCAAAATCGCATAGTTTTCATTGACCCAACACTAATCTTGCAAGGCTAACTGGGAGCAGATAACTCAGATACCAAGTCCTAAACTCCAAGACATAGTTCCCTTATAGTGATATATAGTGAATCAACACAAAAGTTTGATTCATCTCAGCTGCATCTTCTACAAATCCAACAAGAAAGGAAGTTAATTTAAACAGAAAAGAAAAGCCTGGATTCTTATCACAAGATATAAAAAGATTTGTAATGCGGTATGATTTCATGCAGTTGGATACGCAGAATAAAGGAGCCAAATTAATTTAGTTAGATATAATAAGTCACAAGGAGAACCATCAGGCTACAAACACAGTCAGCCTTATAGAAACATGGGGAATGTACTGCAGCTGACCGGAAACTTGTCATCCCATTTTCCATTTGATCAATTGTTCCTCTTATTTCAACACATTATGATATAGCATATAAAACTGAAGCCCCGTTTCCTAAAGATGGAGAAACAGTAATGCAAACAACAGCACCAAAGTCTCAAAGATGTTCTAAACTAAAAAAGCAACAACTATGTGAGCTTCAACCTGAGAATTGCAGAGCAAGCGCAAGAGATCTAAAACCTCTTTCAGTTGCAAATGCATAAATAAGCACAAACAGAGACAAATCTTTCTTCATGTAATCTTTACCCAAATCAATTTTAAACGTTGAGTGATCCCAATTTCAGTGATGCCTTATTCTTCTGCCCATGGACTCTCATAGCCGTTAAAAATAACAAAAAATATTCTTATTGTCTTCTCCAATGCTTTTGATAGAATGCATGTATCATTTGTTCATGTATATGAAATTTTATAGAGCAATAAGATGAGACGCTCCCTGCCTCGAAATAAGCTTACATACTAAAATAGCTACAAAAGGATTGATATCATTTTCATATAATTTTAATCCCTTCTCTAAAAAGCTGAGTTTCAAAAGGGAAAAAAAGATTGTAGTTTAATTGCCATCAGTGACCAATGAGAAAAAAACAAGAATAAGTTGCATTGGTTTTTGAAAGCTGGTTGAGTAAACAATGGCAAAAGTTGTCTGGAAAGCAAAGGGCAAATGGTAACCTTCACTTTAAAGCTGAAAAGGCAAACAGGCAGTAATTCATAAAAATTCTTCTACAAATCAAACTTGTCTGATTTTTTTCAGCTTTCTTTTCTGAATATACTCTGTATCACCCAAATATGAGTGGCCGAGATTATTTTCAATACTGTATGCAGAATTAACCCAAGTATAAGTTTTGAAGATTTATCTGCTTTGTTCAAA